TTGTTTCATCACGTCCATATCTTTTCCAATTAATCAACGGGTGCTCCCTCGGCGACGCTATTTCTTCTCCATCCTTTTCTTCATTCACCCTCTGACACTGGGGACATTCTGCAACCATGCCAGAGAGGTCTTGATTCGGGAAATAGTATAATTGTGCAGTTTCTTGGTATCAGCCGTTGCCACTCCTATCGACGATGCAGTTGGTTTTCTCACGTTTCGTTTACTATATGTATTCTCGTTCAGTAATGTCTGTATCGCCTTCACGGTTGTTATTATTTCATGGTGCCACGTCACGCGGTCTTTCACTTGTCTTTCCGACCTGAAGTCAGGATCACATTTCACACATTTCCCGCTATTTTGGGTTCACTGTCTGTCAGCAAATTGTTTATTTTTTTATGTTATCAAAAATGTAGTTTTAAACAACATACGACGGTTTTTCGACTATTATGAAGGGTCCATACTGTCATTTCAGGTGTGTTGCACTATCTTGAAATTTAACATGTATCCATTGCAAAATATTGTTCAGCTCTTTTTCCACATAATCTGATATTATCTCTTCGCCCCCAGGTACATGCGTTTCGCCATGTCATTAGGAAGTGTAATCGCCTTTCCCAGCATCAGCAAGTTTTGTGTAAATGAGGTAGATTCCTATATTCCTTTCCTATAGGATATTTTCGAAATATAGTAATCCCAATCAGACTGACTACCTTAATATATTTTCCAATTAAATCTATCAAAGTTATGTTATAACGCTCAATATAACCATTATATTTTGTGAGTCATTTCTAATCACTATGCTAACACATAGATAATACAAATAACCTAGTTTAACAATTTCGTTCTTGATCAGAGTGTATTTCTCTAGGAACACCATCATGTGAATATAAACTGTGTTACCAATGTATGTGTCACGGTGACTTGGTTGCTTCTTCTCTTGGAAGCCCGAACGTCCATTAAGTAAAATAATCACCAACCACCAAGATAACTTTATTCCTCCGAGGAGTCACTGGCAATGGTCCCATTATATCAAGGACAATTCTTTTCAGTGGGGCTCCTACCTTATACTGCTGCAGTGGTGATCAATGCCTCCGGGGTAAAACACTATGTTTTGCACAAACAGTACGCTATTGGCACTATAACTGCATATCAGTCCACAATTATTTCATTGATATTTCTGTTTTACTCTCCCTCTCTCCTGGGTGAATGCTGACAGCTCGTGCCTGGGTCACCATTTTCTTGTCCATCTTCCCGGTATCTACTATTCATTGTTTCCATTCCTGATTCTATATTCACATTTTTGTGTCCCTCATTCAAGTGGGAATATCATGCAATTCCCTGCACACTCTCGGCCCTGGAAGTCACAGCGCCATGTTTCTCCTGCCAACCCAACCACATTGCTTACATGGTATTCTCATAACGTAGATTTCCCATGTCCTGTGTATTACCTCTAAGATTTCAACCTACCTGTCGAGTTGACCTTCTGCACACTTAAAACTCAACAACCAGCTTAGAGCTGTATGATCAGTCATGATGGTGAATTGCCTACTGTACAGTTACTGCCTGTAGCATCTAACAAAATTCACCAATGCCCGTATTTCTTTTCGTTCTGATGCAATTGTTCCATTCCGCTTTACTAAGCAACATTCTGCCATGTGCTATCACCCTTTCCTTTCCATCCTGGACCTGTGATATGACAGCACCAATACCAGTTGCACTTTCATTCATATTCAACACATATTCCTCATTTTTTGTGGATACGCTAGTTTCGGAGTGGACATCAGACACTTCTTTAATTCTTGAAAAGCAATATCATACTTTGATTCCTTTGTCAAACACTCTGTTACTCTATGCTGCTATCTTGGCAAATCCTTCTACATGATGATGATAGTTGAACGCCATCCCCAAGAAACCCCATACATTTCTCACGCACTTTAGCATTGACCTCACTTTATGGCCCTCACTTTGTCTAGATCCGTTGCTACTCGTCGATTGTTCGGTTTGCTGTTGTGATAATCTGCTTATATATGAGGCATTTTCTAGACGTTCACTCAATGCAGCTGTGTGGTTAGGTGATCGACCATTGTTCAAAGTAAAGCTCAGTCACGCGTGGTTAGTACTTGCATGGGAGACTCCCTGAATAAACTAGGTGTTGTTGATTGTTGATGCCGTCGGTACGTACTGAGATTTATCTTATTAACGCTTTCTGCAAAGTTGTGCAAAGTGTCTTCAAGGTTGGTAGATGTAATTGCATATATGATTGCATATATAGTAAACGATGTGCAAAGCTGTAAAAAGTGATTGAATGGCGGAGGAGTTGCTTGTATATTTAACCTTAGTCATTGTCATGACAACCCCGCAGTAAAATGACGAAAACAATGAATAACCGTCTCGAAAATGCCTAATATGGTAGCAGATTATCACAACGGCAAACCAAAAAAATCGACGACAAACTGCTTACAAAGTTGTGAAAAGCGATTGCAAATTTGATAGATTCATTTGCGAGTGTTACCTGTGATATCATATTAACATGTCCCATAGTTAAAGGTTCGAAATGTGAATAAATATTTCGTAAGTCGGCTTTAAATTAGCGTAGTGTTACTCGGAACATGTAGAGGTTATAGGTCAATTCTAGATGGTGATTATGCATGCGATACCATTGTTAAACAGTCCAAAACATGAAACAGCCGCTAATTCGACTAAATTTCGGATAACTCATGCACGTATGTGGTTAGGTTATCGACCATTGTTTATAGTAAAGCAAAATAAGGCGTGGTTAGTATTTGCATTGGAGACTCCCTCAGTAAACAAGGTGTTGGATTTTGTTTCTTCTTGCTTCAACATACACATGGAAAAAATAGGTAGAAACGTTCCTGCATTTGTTGTTACTGTTATGTCAATCATTTATCGTAGATAGTCGTAGAATTTTTTGAATTTTTTGAGTTAATGGAAAGTTTTCTAATCCTATATAATCTTCAAAGAAACAAATTGTTGATGCCGTCGGCATCTACTGAGATTTAAGCAATTAACGCACTGTGCAAAGTTGTGCAAAGTGAGTGCACGATTGGTGTATGTATATGTATATATGAGCTAAGTTGTTGGCCTATAGAACCGCACAGTTCTAAAGTCGATAAATTTAATAAAAGGCAGTTGAAAGCATCCTATATTAGCGGATGTTCACGTGAGCTGAACGTAAAATGTTAGAAAACAACGTGCGAAGTTGGAAAAAGCGATTGTAATGACGGCTGAGTAGCTTGTATATTTAACCTAAGTCATTGTCATGACAACCCCGCAGTTAAATGTCGAAAACAATAAATAACCGTCTCGAAAATACGGCATATATTAGCAGATTATCACAACAGAAAACCGAAAAATCGACGACAAACTGCTTACAAAGTTGTGAAAAGCGATTGTAAAGTTGATAGATTCATGACGTGTCCCATAGTTAAAAGTTCGAAAATGTGGATAAATATTTCGTAAATTGGCGTTAAATAAGCGTAGTGTTACTCGGAACATGTACAGGTCATCGGTCAATTCTAGAAGGTTCTTGTGCAAACGACATCATGTTAAAACATTCCAAACATGAAATAACCGCCAACTTGTAAAACACTAAAACTAACAGAAACACATGGTTTTGCAAGGTTTGCATAATGGTGTAACTGCAGGACACATGATCGGGACTGCAGAGAAAGAGTAAAGCAGTAATATCATTGACATAATCTGGGGACTGATGTGCAATTATAGTTTAAACAGCGTACTGTTCAAATCATAGTGTTTTACCGTAGTCACATAGAGCACCACTGCAGCGGAATAAGGTATGAGGCCCAATGAAAAGAATTGTCCTTAATATAATGGGACCGTTGCCAGAGACCCCAAATGGGAATAAAGTTAACTTGGTGGTTGGAGATTATTTTACTCAATGGATAGAGGCGTTTGGGCTCCTAACTGAAGAAGCAACCAAGTCACCGTGACACATACATTGGTAACACAGTTTATTTAACGTGATGGTGTTCCTAAAGAAATACACTATGAGCAAGGATGACATTGTGAATCTAGGTTATTTGCATAAATGTGCTAGTGACTCGCAAAATCTGATGGTTGTATTGAGCGTTATAACAAAACGTTGATAGATTTAATTGCCAAATACATTAAAGTGGATCAGTCTGATTGAGATTTATACATTCCCATATCGATAATGTCCTTTAGGAATAGGATACGGAATTCTACTTCATTCACACAAAACTGAAGATGGGAAATAGTACAGTAGAAATGACATGAGAATAGTCAAACCCATACATTTTCTATAACAACCATTTTTTTTGTTTTAAACTCAGATGTTGTTTATAAAATACATTTTTCACCATACATAAACAATTAAACAATTTGCTGACAGGCAGTGTACCCAAAATAGCGAGTAATGTGTGAAATGTGATGCTGTCTTCAGGTCGGAGGGGCGATTGAAAGACCGCGTGACGCAGCACCATGCGTGAAGGCGATACGTACATCACCAAACGAGAATGCGTATAGTAAACGAAACGTGAGGAAACCAGCTGCATCGTCGATAGGGGTGACAATGGCTGATACCAAGAAACTGCACAATTATACTATTTCCCGAATTAAGACCACTCTGGGATGGTTGCAGAATGTTTCCAGTGTCGGAGGGTGAAAAAAGAAAGAAATAACGCGCCGAGGGAGCATCCGGTATTAATTGGAAAGAAAATATAAAGACGTGATGAAACAAGCATATAAGAACACATGTGAAGGAGAAGAAATAAAACTATAACCTGACAGGCACAGCCAGACTCGGAATCGGATGTAGATGCAGAGATAGTAGAGACTATGCTGTGGAGGTGGAACATCGAGACGCAACCACACAGACCGGGGAGATGCAGAGATGTTGTGATGCAGACCGCGGGGGAGATCGGCTTAAAGTGAAAACCAGACAGAGCGCATTTTTTGTTGAATCAGATCAGGAGAACACAGAATAGAACTACACTATAAACTATATATATATATCTGTTTTAATTTTTATAGAAGCACCTTCCCAAATAAAACAAATTCTAAAATTTAGATAACCAATCCCGTATATTTCCGTCAATGCATTGCCTCAGTTGTTGTGATATACTTTCACCAATCGATCCCCACCCCGTGACAGCGAACGTACTTAAGGGAAAAAACTTATAAGATAAGCACGCCACCAGAGACGTCTATTATTTGAAGATAACCTCCCACAAAAGTCGTTCTCGAATTTAATGTTACAATACTAATACAAGCAAAAATATACCTTTGATGATATTTTACTTAGCATGTGTTTGTCAATGTTCATAGGGTTTATTCAATTGATCTCATAATTAAATTATTACTAAATAGAAACACATAACACACTATGATATTATCTTTGACTAGTTCACTGGTGATATCTTCTAACAGGAGATAGACTGGCCCATTCGTTGTTTATTTCCTTTTTACCAGCCCATGGGTTGACCTAGAAAACACAAGTTGACAAAACTTTTAACCATGTATTCATAAAGAAAATCACATACATACACGTTGTACACAACAAGACAGTTATTAAGTGAATTTATTTCCTATTTGTTTTTATTTCACCCTCATACCATGAATGCTTAGTTGGCACTAGTCAATAAAACACCATAATAACACCTGATATCGAAAATTAAGCAGGACAAAACAATGTAGGCAGGAACTATAACAAGCAATGCAAAAATAACAACCACTCACAAAACATTTGCAACTATGACATGGATTCTTGGACAAGCCACTGAAATATCAGGTTTCCATAAAAGAACAAATGTCTAAAAATCATTAAATATGTTTAGTATGCCACCAATACTACATATATCTATATCATATACAGAATATATCTACCATAACCATTGGGACTATGTTGATAAAGCTAACCATTTTTTTTAAATTAATGAAGTAAAAATAACACGATTTCGAATCAAAATCAAATTTGCCGATCAACATGTCCAGTTAATAGGCAAATATTAAATGAATAAACCCAACTCAACTTCAGCATTTTAGTTGAAGGTTAGTATGTGTTGAAATAAGTGTGTTAAAATACATATTACATGACTACCTGATATTTCAAAATGCAACATTTTATAATTGATTCGTTTTCTGTCATGAATTTGTTTTCGCGTATCTGTTGACCGACTTAATTAACTGATTATTAGCTGAATTGCTGTGTTATGTCTGTCATCGTTTAGGTCTAATTTGAAGTTTTTGGACGGAACTT